CCATTCGTGTAAATGCAAAATCTCAAGAACACCTTGAGGTGATTTCTTCAAATTTGGTGCAAACGTCCACTTGGACTCAACCATTCTGATTAGATTTTGTCCGTCAAAGGTCAAGGTGACTGTGACCTTCTGTTTGTCATATTCTCGTGAACGTGATACCCCAAAAACACATTGAAGGCAATTCCTCAAATTTGGCACAAATGTCCATTTGGATTTAAGAATGAACTGATAACAATTTGGTGGTCAGAAGGTCAAGGTCAGTGTGACCTCACAAACATGTTTTTGGCCATAACCCAAGAATTCATATGCTAATTATGATTTAAAAAATTCCCAGAAATGCCTAATAGCAAAAAATTATAGCATGATTTCAGTTTACATCCAAAAGGCCAAAGGTCAACTTGACTGTGACATTGATTGTTCTGCAGAAACACTTCTCTGGCCGTTACTCAACATCATAACTCAGAACAGAACAGAAGTGGAGACATTTTGTCAGATATTGAATTCGTGACTCTAATCTTGAAACTCTGCTGATTGTATAGATCTTCTATGCTGCCGGGCTGAAGATAATATTTAGAATATGTAGCTTCTTTGCAATAACATTAATATTTATAGCATTGTCAACTGCCATGTCTACATACGAGTCTGGACAGACATGGATGTAAAATGTAACTACAACTTGACTGACTCACAGAAACATATAACCACAAGACAGTAATTCTAATTTTGTTATTGGATTAGAATTTCTGATGTATGTGAACAATGTTCAGTGTTGTAGGTGGCCACCTGGACCTTTAACCACGTTATATACTATTAGGTTTAATCTGTAATGACTGTAGACTGTAACAATAATGGACGTAGATACCGTGACCTCACTCATTGGATTGTGGACTCCCATTTTGAAGCCTCCAGTTTGGCATTTGGTTGTCGCCATCTTGTTGTTTTTTGAGCCAGTGGTGACCATATTGGGCCATGAGGCAGGCGCTGTGGACGAGTGAGGGGTGGGTCTGACTGAGAAGTTGAGGACACTTTGACAGACAGCCTGTAACTGAGAGTGGCCTGCCCTTAATCATGCATAATTTTACGACTTGATAAAATGTAAATGGGTGAGTTGAATAAAAATGAATCCTCTGCACAATAGAGACCAAAACTGGATTTGGCTGTACCAGGCTGTAAACATGTTTATTTTTGCTGTAAAGTCGGGCAGTTTAACATGGGGGTCTATGGAGACTGACTGGCTTCTGGAGCCAGCCTCAAGTGAGCATTCAACACCAACAATTGGTCTCCTTTAAATATAAGTACTGGAGTAAAAGAGTACAGAATGTCCTCATGAAATGTAACCGTGCACAAGTATAAAGCAGCCTGAATTTGAAATGTTCTAAAGTACAGAACCTCAAAACTGTACAGTATTTAAATAAATGTGCAGCTTTACTGTGTTTTCCACTACTGGTGTGTTCACAGGCCAAAACAGAGAGAATAGACAAACTTGCTTGTTAAATAAGGTTGGATGGAGCCTTTGCACCTGTTGAGGTAACTGTGGTCTGACGTTGATCAACACTTGTGAAACCCTGTGGTGCCTCGGCTGTAACACTGTAAACAAACATTACGCCATAGTCATCATCTCCGTCTGGAGGTGCCCTTCCTCTAGTTAGCTTGCAGCTATCATTCTATCATAGTTTCATAATGTGTATGGTATGTTCGTTTATATTTTCAGCCAAACTTATGCACAATTAGCTAGATCCTAGCTTGCAGGTGTGGAAAAATAACAAGGGAAGGGATTGAGTTGATTTTTTTTTTAAACAGCACATCTTCCCAGGGAACTAAACCTATTGCTGGGAAGAAAGCTCTGCCTTAAAAGCTAAAATCAGAGAACAAAAATCCCTGTTGTGCAGTTAATGCCATAGGCTATTTGAAATATTGTAACATGACTGGCTGCAGGGACTTGTGTATCTGTGTATTTTGGGAAGGTTTACTGTAAAACCCTCTGCCCAGAGGTGGGTATGCTACATATTCTACATCTTTGCCTTGACTCTACTGCTTAAAGCTTTTTCAGATAGTGTAAAAATAGTATTTAATTTGATTTTATTTATTTTACAAGATTTTTGTCATACGTAGATAAAGCTGATATTAAAAACTACCCAATAATTCTTTGCCCACAATTCCTTTTTTAATCATGTTGCACATGTAATCTAAAAATAGTGTATTGTAAATTTGTTTTACGCAAGAGCTTCACTTCACCTTGATTTTATTAGGGGTTTTTTAAGGTTTTGACACCTACTTAATGCGTGTGTTGTTTTTATAACCTTGTAGATGACGTCAAAGACTTTTTTTTTTTTGAGCCGTCAGACAGTTGCAGATTATGGAAAAGGTGTGGGAAGTAGACCCAGAGGTGAGAGAAAACTTTTAAGCTAAATCTCTGCTGGGGAAAAGTGGGTGGACAGTGAATAAGTAACACTTTTCTCCCTCAGGTCAGGGTGCCCTTGAACACCTATCTGCAAAAGTAAAGTTAACTGAATGGACTGTGTGACACTGAGCACGCTGTTCTTTTTGCCTTTTTCAGAGTAAATGAAACTTAATGGCTGAGTCCAAAGGTGCTTTTTCTTTCCTCTAAGCAGGTGTGAGCAATAGCCTGGTTACTGCTGTCAAATGTATCTGACCATGACTGTATTTCATCATTCTGACAGTAAAATCTCACTGTCACACATGTTTGATATCTTCTGAAGGGAGACATTCTCACCTCCAGTTGACAGACTTTCTGCTTTTACAAAACAAAATAAAAATCAGCACTAGAACTCTGCAAAACAGCACCTGACATTTTCACTTACACAGACCAGCCCTACATGTACATATTGTACTTCAAGTCTGTGTGTTGTGGTAGAGCGGAGCATCTGTTTTACATTTTGTTAAGGTGTCTGTTTACAGTGCAGCAGTGTTTCATGTCAAGTTGCGTTAATCTAGACAAAACAAGCATATCCCTGTACTGTATGTACTTTATTTAGCCCTTATCTTATCTTAATGTACCTTAAAACATTTTAATTCACTAAATCATACACAATATTTACATTTACTCAACCTTCTGATCTTGTAAAGTGCAGTCCTGTTGCTAAGTCCAAATAACACTTAACTTTGACTTAAATTTAGATTTTTATAACAGATTTCAAAGCAAAGTTACTGTTTGTTGAAAACTAAAATAGCAGGCAAGAAGTCTAAAGTTGTTTTGAGGACATACAGTGCCCTCCAAAAGTATTGGAACAGTGAGTCCAATTCGTTTACTTTTGTTGTAGACTGAAAACATTTGGGTTTGACATCAAAAGATGAATATGAGACAAGAGATCAACATTTCAGCTTTTATTTCCAGGTATTTACATCTGGATCTGATACACAACTTAGAAGACAGCATTATTTGTAATGGAACACAAAATTTTTAGGTGAGCAAAAGTATTGGAACATATAAACTTAAAATAGATTAAAGTGAATGAGACTTAATATTTAGTTGCAAATCCTTTGCTTTCAATAACTGCATCAAGCCTGTGACCCACTGACATCACCAAACTTTTGCATTCTTCTTTTGTGATGCTTTTCCAGGCTTTCACCGCAGCCTTTTTCAGTTGTTGTTTGTTTTGGGGGGTTACTCCCTTCAGTCTCCTCTTCAGCAGGTAAAATGCATGCTCTATTGGGTTTAAGTCTGGAGACTGACTTGGCCAGTCTAAAACCTTCCACTTCTTGCCCCTGATGAACTCCTTTGTTGTTTTGGCAGTGTGTTTTGGGTCGTTATCTTGCTGCATGATGAAGGATCTCCCAATCAGTTTGGCTGCATCTTTCTTTAAATTAGCAGACAAAATGTTTCTGTAGACTTCTGAGTTCATTTTGCTGCTGCCATCATGTGTTACATCATCAATGAGGATGAAAGAGCTCGTCCCAGAAGAAGCCATGCAAGCCCAAGCCATGACATTACCTCCACCGTGCTTCACAGATGAGCTTGTATGATTGGGATCATGAGCAGATCCTTTCTTTCTCCAAACTTTCGCCTTTCCATCACTTTGGAAAAAGTTAATCTTTGTCTCATCAGTCCATAAAACTTTTTCCCAGAATTTTTGAGGCTCATCTCTGTACTTTTTGGCAAATTCCAGCCTGGCCTTCCTATTCTTCTTGCTAATGAGTGGTTTGCATCTTCTGGTGTAGCCTCTGTACTTTTGTTCATGAAGTTTTGTGCGAACAGTAGATTGTGATACCTTCACTCCTGCCCTCTGGAGGTTGTTGCTGATGTCACTAACAGTTGTTTTAGGGTCTTTCTTTACAGCTCTCACAATATTTCTGTCATCAACTGCTGATGTTTTCCTTGGTCTACCTGTTCGACGTCTGTTGCTTAGTACACCAGTGGTTTCTTTCTTCTTCAGGACATTCCAAATGGTTGTACTGGCTATGGCCAATGTTTGTGCAATGGCTCTGATTGATTGTCCATCTTCTTTCAGATTCACAATTGCTTCTTTTTCACCCATAGACAGCTCTCTGGTTTTCATGTTGGTTCCACCTCTAAATGCAGTCTGCACAGGCAAAACCTATCGTACCCAATCTGAAACTGAGCTCAGACATTCAGTGCTATTTATTGTTTGAATAATTAATGTAACTGGGAGACACCTGGGCAACAAAACACACCTGTCAGTCACATGTTCCAATACTTTTGCTCTCATGAAAAATGGGTGGGTTCAAACAAAAGGTGCTATCTTCTAAGTTGTGTATCAGATCCAGATGTAAATACCTGGAAATAAAAGCTGAAATGTTGATCTCTTGTCCCATATTCATCTTTTGATGTCAAACCCAAATATTTTCAGTCTACAACAAAAATAAAGGAATTGGCCTCACTGTTCCAATACTTTTGGAGGGCACTGTAAATCTTACATTTCAAGTAGTCTCTCCTCAAACTGTGCATGAATCGCTTTCAACTGAAGTCACTGGGTGAATTATGACTTCTCAACACAAATGTGTCTGTCTCTCTGCCACAGAAACCCTTTTGAGCTTTGTGGATGACATCCTGTCTGGGGCCAGGTCTCCATGTGTGATGCTAGGGGATATCCCCAACCTCCTGTCCTCCTCCATCAGCATGATCATTCGTTGCCTGGAGCCTGACACCACATACATGTAAGTCACTCTTTTTTTCCTCTCATGAACATGTAAACTAAACAACATGATGTAAAGTAAACATACCCAGTTACCAGATCTCAGTCCAAATTAGTTCTAGAAGAAGCTTCTGCACTGACAGATGTGTTTAGATTTAGGGTGAAGCAAATCTTTGACTTACTACTTGACTGTTTTGAATGTTTAAGTATGTATTGTGTTTGCAACGAAAAAAGTTGCCAAATTAAGTATAATCAAAACTTTTTACTATGCATAGAAACAATACTTGCATTTCAGTGTGTTGCTGCTAAACACTATTGTCCACAATGCACTGCACATAGGAAATGGAGTAGGTTATCTTCTCACAGCTGGAGAAGATTAGAGTAATTGTGAATGTGGTGAGACAGCTCCAGAGAGGCCATTGAGAACAAACAAGAAATCATCTTTGGGAAAATATTTGCTTTTCTCTTTGTGAAGTTTAATTGTCAGTGTCATTCAAAGTCACCGTTTAATTGACATTTTATGTTGCTGACAATGCATCATTTCCTGTCAGAATAAAATGCTGCTTTATTGTATACTAACTACAAAAACATCATATCATAAAGTAGTAAGTACTAGTAGAAGTAGTAGTATGTACAATAAGTATGTAGTATGTAATTGTAATTGGGAGTTAAAGTTTATTGCCACAAACAGAATGTACCAACAGCAACTAGCTGTAGCTAGCAACATACAAACGTTTCTGTGCATTTGTGAAGTGATTAGCCATGCTAAAGTTAGCAAAAAGAAAGCAGGGGGAAATACAGTAGCTAGCTTAGCTCCCAGGTTGGTGTGTTTAACACATGTAAAAAGCCTATCAGCATTCACTTTGTACTTGATGCAGATTTTTGCCTTGTTCTATTTGCGCAAATTTGACAGCTTGAATTTTTTAGTTGACTTTATGTTTAAAAGTATGGCCAGTTTAGAGGTGCCAGAATGTGATTTGTTTTCGTATGTTTTTTTTTGTTTGTTTGTTTTTTAGCTATCTTTTATAAAAACCCTCAACACTTCATTCACTTAGCTATCTGTCTTGAACAAATAAAGGCAAAATTTACATTGATCTTCTTATTTAAGTCAGGGTAAGACAGCAAAATGTGCTCCTTCAAGCATCACAAACACCAGAGTAGGGAAGAATCAAGTGGGATGCATTGTAAGAAATTTCTCAAGGGAATTTCTTCACTTCCCAAATGATCATTTCTATATTAATTTCTCACCCCGTGTTGCATCGAATTTGTAAAAAAAAAAAAAAAAAAGAAAAGAATTCTCGCCTGCCACAATGTTCAACGAACAATCCAAAAACGGAGAAAAATCCTTGATGAATTGAGGTCGTAGTGGTCCACACAGCTTGTGCAGTATACTCCAAGTCTTATTTATCCAGTCATATGACTGGATAAATAAGTTCAGTATTTTTGCTAAAATCTTACCATTTTAAGACACTTTGCACATAAACAGTCTTGAGCACAGATGAGTAGTGCGCCTGTGTAAAACATGAGGAAGTGTTTTAAATATTACAGTTTTAGTGAAAATGCATGTGTTTGGGTAGTACTGAGCATACATCTGGATAATTGAGACTTGTGACTATACTGTACGAGTTGCGTGAGACTTTGTGAATGGATGTTTTGATAAAGTTTTGCTGTTGTTAAACTTGGACCCCTATGACTTCTATTCATCAAGACTTTGCTCCCTTTTTGGATTCTTTGTTCGCCAGAGGTGTGCAAGAAAACAAAGTTTTCTTCTCAAAATCAACTTAAAATGGGGTGAGTAACTGCTAAACAAATTATGATGTGGGGGGTGAAGTATTCCTTTAAACAGTATCTTTGTTTTACTTCCATGGGGGTATCAACATTTCATATCAGAGTGCCTGTGAAATACCTTCACATACCATAATGCATATTTTAAACAAATTTTTTTCTACCCAAGCATTTGAGGCTGCTTTCATCCAACAATCTATGGAACTTTATTTATTCTAACTTTCTATAAATTCTTCCTCAGTGATTATGCAGTATGTGCTTATCATAAGTCAAACAAGGCCAGTGGGTCAAATAAGGGCTAAGTCAGAGGTTCATGACCACAATATGTTTTCCACATGTATTTATAGTCCTTAGGGAAAGAGTGAGTTTATTTCCAAGTGAAGTCCTCACATACTGTACTAACCACTCACTAAATGTGTTGGGTGTGACACATTGACTGCGCAAGGTAACTCAGGGTTATTTCAGAGCTAGGCATTACACCAAGGGTTACAGCTATGATACATTATTGGTCTTGCATTACCAGAATGAGTTTGGATGTGGATAATCTGTGTAATTTTAACATAAGGTTGAAGCTGAAAAAAATAATTGGTATCTGAAATAATTCTGTAGTCCACACAAGGATGTTATAATATTATAAAATTATTTATTTTTTAAAAAACTGGATGTAACTTTCAAATAGTTCTGTATTCAGTCTGTGTATGTGCAATGTAATGCAGTAACAAGATGTAGCGCATACACACAGATACACACACCAGATGCTCAGATGCTCTCATACACATGCTGACACTTATAACACAGACAGCCTGCCAAAAGGGAAGCTACACACACTTTGTAGAGATGAAAAGAGGTAGATTAAGGTGGAGTGAAAGAAATGGAGAAGTAAGAGGCAAAGTTTGGGGTAGAGAAAGAAAAAGGGGGAATGAGTGAGAATAAAGATGGAGTGTGAAAGCAGTTTGGATGTATATGGGCTGAGAGAGTAGCTACACATGCTCTTTTAATCCCCAGCATCAGTGGGGCTCCTGCTCTCTCCATCCTGTCTGGCAGCTCATTCATCTCTTGGAGCTGAGGCCTCGTCGCAACCTTCAGGGCGCCACACGCTCCTTATATTTTCTATAAAGACAGAGCTCTTACAAAGCTTGGGATTGGTGCCTTATAGGGGGAAATGTATTGTGTGGGGAGAAGTATGCATACGCTGTTATGTAAGCATGACACAGAAAACACACTCTGCAGCTGCATCAAAAGCCTTTGAAGACATACTGGAAAAGTTTCAGTGTGTTTAAGTCTGTTGCTCAAAATATATCAAGTTTTTCTTTTCTTCAGCTCTCTACCTTGTGATACTGTTTCTAAACCTTTGGAGCTGCAGGTGGATGCAGTTTGTGTTTTGTTCACTAGGTGGTGATATTCATTCAGTGAAGTGACGGGTTAATAGCCCTGAAAAGGAGTGCTTATTGTCAGTCTGGCACAAGTGAAAGTTCTGTATTGATAATGCAGGCTCTCATCTCCAGCAAAGGGAGTCTGTACCTCGAATTAACATCTGTGTAAAATGATCATGTGATGTTGAGACAGTAGATTCATCACACTCCATTGCTGGGAATCTATATGGTTTTGCACAAAATCATTTATCACTCACAATCAGCAGCAGCTTTTCTAAACAGTTTCATGTATGTTTATGCGTCTAGGTTCCGGCTGTGGGCAGTGGACAACACAGGGCGGCGTTCCAGTCCAAGTGAGGTCACAATCAAAACTCCGTGTCCAACTGTGGATGACGTCAAAGCACAAGGTAAGGGATGGGGCTAAAGTCAAAGAAGGTGAATCATCTTTCAGTAGTGATCACAGGAGGCTCACAGAGATGAGTTTCATGTTCCAACACTGTATAAATGCTTGAGGTGACTGTGACACAAAATAAGTTTAACATCTACATTTTTCTACATTTTTGTTCAGGCTTTGTGTGATTTAATATGTTTATTGTATTAAAGAGATATAGTCAGTCAGAGATGACACTGAGGAGATAATGTTTCTCAGTTTTCTAGTAACCAGATATAAGTATAGCTGATTCAAAGGACAGACATTTGCTCTTTCTGTTTGCAGGTATAATTCAAGACCTCACAAAACAGATCTTAAAGATCAGTTCATAGAGCTAGTCATAAAGTCACAGAGAGGTAGTTTTCCTCTCTGGAGTAGGACTGTTTATAGACACTAAACTACTATTCCATGAGGATATTGACTATAAAAAAATGTTATTCCATATAGTAAAAAATTAAAGAAGACTGAAAGTTGAAATGTTTTGCCACTCAGTGTACTAGAGAGAGATTTATAGCAAAGATGTTATTGCGGATCCAGTTCTGATTTGAATCAGCCATTGCGAAAATGCTCCAACCAGTGAAGTGTGATACTACTGGCTCATGCTGTTGATTTTAATGCCTGGAAACACATGAATGGTGTGAAATACAATATGCCCACTCCGTGGCTCTGTTTTGAACACTTTACTGGCATTGTTAACCAGGACAGGTGATTATAAAACAATTCCCCATCTGAAGAAAAACTTCAACTCAGTCTGGCTTTAGATGAATATGCTAATGATTTATTTATTAAAATTTGTTATTAAAATCAAGATGCGCATGTAGAGTGACATCTGTCTTAATAATCTAAATTGCAAAGTGGGGCTGCAGTAGAAATATAGAAGGGTGAGACCCCACAGATTTGTTCTATTGTTCTACAGAAATTCTGGTGTGGTGGAGTATTTATTTTAGGGAAAAGTTCTTCCCCAAAAGGAGGTAGCACTTAAAATCCTAACAGTGTCTCTAGAGCTGTAACGATTAGTCCAGTGGCTGATTTGTTGATTGACAGTAAAGTAATCAGCAACTATTTTGATAATCATTGAGTCATTATTTAATCGTCATTGTTCAAGCAAAAATGTCCAAAGTCTCCAGCTTCTCGATTGTGAAGAATTGCTGCTTTTCTTTATTATATGATGGTAAACTGAATCTTTGGGTTTTAGACTGTGGATCTGACATACAAGACATTTTAGGACATACTCTTGGGCTTAATGAAAAGTGGATCTGCATCTTGCACTTTTTCCTGACATTTTACAGACCGTATGATCAGTCGAGTAAGTAACTGGAAGATTAATCGAGCAATTTGATGAAGGACAGGAACACTAACAATCAATCAGAATTCATCTGAGTTTACATGGTGTCATGTTCCACGTAGCAGAAAGCATCACGTTAGGTTCATGCTCAAATGTACTTATGGCTAAGATGGACAGGGGAGCTCCAGAGTATACTGAAGGTCCATCTCTGGAGCTGCTGTCCGCCCATGTACCAGCCAAGTAGTGTCCTAGCCGAGGGGAATGAGGTGGAGGGACCATGCAGTAAGCTAGTTAGCTAATTCAGGTCCATGTCACTGGTCCGACAGCCCATTGGTCCGACGGTCCGCGGTGCTGAACAGCTCCCAGCGGACGTATTTCTGCTTTGATGGTGCGCCGCGACCGGCTCTGGGTCAGCTGGGAAAGGCTTGAGGCGAAGCAGGCTCATGGCTTATGTGTTTGTCACTTTATTTTTCATTTTAACCCACACCATGATCTTTTCCTAACCCTAACCAAGTGGTTTTTGTGCTTAAACCTAACCAGACCTTAACCACAGGGCATCATGATGATTTCGGAACAATGGGTTTAATATGGTCGGAACAATGGGATGTCGGACCAATGGGCTGTTGGACCAATGGGCAGTTCCCAGCTAATTCTTGACCCAGTTGTAGTCTGATAAATGGTAAATTCATCAAATTCAATGTCCCATATTCTTATGAGACAACTGCTGACGTAACAACCAGTCACAACCGAGCACACAGCAGAGTGTCCCACCATCCATCCATTCTAGCATCAGCATTTTGTCCGAGGCACACTGCCAAACAGTCTTTGGCGCCGATACAATTCGTCTTGTCCTTACTGATGGTTTTATTTGACGTTCACCAAGATACAATCAAACTGATATTGACTCATACGATGAACAAAATTTGTCTCCAAAGACGGCAGCTCGTAACACGGAGTTAGAGTCTCCTTATTCCTTTCCTCTTTTTGAAGAATGTTGTGAACCCATATCCCTCTGGTTTTCGATTTGTTTTTCTACATCCATTTTTCCAGGCCATCGACATAGCTTGAGCACATAGCATGTGCTTGGCGCCATTGTTTACAGAACGTTATTGTTCATCAGTGTGTATGCTCACATTGAAATTGTTATAGTTACTGTAATAGTTATTCTTGGTGTGGACAGCCCAGACAGCAGCACGGCAGACCTATGTCCAGAAAAAGCTGAGAATTCAACACAAAACGAAAAACGTTGCTAATTACTGATATCCTTTGTGACTATACACTGACATTAAAATTGTTCATACACATTTTCAGTTATAGCTGCCATGATTCTATGTGAAGTTGTCTATGATTGTGTTTACCCTTCCAGAAATAGCCGATAAAATCTACAACCTGTTCAATGGTTACACCAGTGGGAAGGAGCAGCAGACAGCCTACAATACTCTGATGGACCTGGGTGCTCCCACGCTCCACCGCGTGCTCTACCACTACAACCAGCGCTACGAGAGCTTTGGAGAATTCACCTGGAGGTGTGAGGACGAGCTGGGACCCAGGTACAGTTTTTATCATTTGACCCCCCTTTTTGTGTCTTGAAAATAAAATGATAAGAGTTTTTCAAAGAAAGACAATAGATAAAAGATCAAAAATGTACATAGGGTGGAAATTGATTGGACATCTTATAAGCACATTTTGCTTTGACACTGCAGTAGGTTAAAAGGGAAAACAAGAGAAACGGTAAGACTGTCAAATGTTTGGAATTCAGTTTGTATTTCAGATGTGCCCACGCCTCTGATATGTAACCTCAGATCAGAAATATGCATTCCTTCCAGTAAATTGATCATCAGCTTTACGGTCAATTTATCAGAGGGACCCGACATATACAAGACTGACTCAGGACAGCCCTGCAGCTCTGTCCTGAGTCACACTTTTACAGAATACCAAAAGACTGAGCCATTTTAACAATGTGTTGACTGTGATCACTGCAATCAGTCTCTGAAATTACAGAGATGTGTGTGTATGTCTGTGTCTGTGTGTCTGTGTGTCTGTGTCTGTGTGTCTGCGTGCACATTTGTGCCCTTTCTCTGTTTATGAGTTGCCCTCCCACCAAGAAATTGCAATCTGTCATACTGAACATTGAACAATAACAGTACAGCCGGGCTGCAAGATTGAAGAAAAGTGGCAACTAGACAAAAGTCTGGCTTGGTTTGGTGTGAACACCACTTGTCAACACAATTTGAGCACAAGATCTTTTCAAACATGAAATGGTCACAAGCAACGCCAAATATGTAGGAAAACCCGGACACTAGATTAGCTACTACAACATATGCTAGATTTGGACTGGACCAAAATGACATATAGGCTCCACTGATAATTACTTTACCCACATTAGTCATGTAAAACTCTTCCCATCCTGATGACTCATACTGTACTGTGTGTTCCAATACCCATACTCCTATGCTATTAGTATGCCAGAGGAAGATTTAGTATGTCCCAATACATAGTATGTCAGATGCGGTGTGCCAAAAATACCAGGCTGTTCTACTGTATCTAATCACATTTTGCAGTATGCAAGCCATCATGCTTTTTGGGAATGTTCCGACCCTCAGTCTTCTGTTCAGCAGAAGATACAGTATGTCACATCAACTGAACCACAGACAGATGACAGCCTGTTGACAGCTGTCAGAGGCTGCAATGACAGATGACAGTGCACTCAAGTGACTGATGAGCAGTCGAATCGTAATAATCAGACTATCAATTGTTTACAGGTCCAGTGTGTAGGATTTAGGGGCATTTATTGGCAGAAATGATATATGATATATTAATGTTCGTTGTGTACCTGTAATTTTTTTTCGTTGTGTACCTGTAACTTTGTTTACACAATGTTGAACTCGCCCACCCTTACGCTCTGCGTTGCAGTGACGCAGACCTCCTGTCAGTTTCTGTATACTGACACCATTTCCCTCAGTGGAAAGGAAGCTTGTATTTACTTGTATTTCACGGAAAAGAAACAATAAATTGTGAGGACAGTAAAGCCTCCACTGAAATAGAATTTTAAGTCTTGTGTGTGATTTATTCTTTACGGATTTATAGTTCAGGATTTATCCTGGCTTCATATGAGCAGAGGAAATCTCCGATCTTCGCTAGGCTAATTTATACAATGTAGCATGCCATAGGCTGGCGCTAATAACGTTAGCATGTTGTATTTGCTTGGAAAACGTGTTTAGTATAAGACAGTTGATTGGTCAGTGAATTTTGTGAGTTGTAATGGAGCCAAATTGAGTGCCCTTACCTTTGTTAAATGTTGCTGTTGTCCCTGGTTTTATATGAGACAAGGGAAAGATCGCTAGCTGCCAGGCTAATTTATAGGCTACAATTTAAAATGCCATAGGCTGGCACTAATAACGTTAGCATGTTGTATTTGCTTGGAAAACATGTTTAGTATAAGACAGTTGTTTTGTCTGTGAATCTTGTGAGTTGTAATGGAGTCACATTGAGTGCTGTTACCTTTGTTAAATGTTGCTGTTGTCCCTGGTTTTATATGAGAAGAGGAAAAGATCGCTAGTACCCAATTTGCGTACTTGTGTTTGAAATTGTCTCTATTAAGCCATATTTAATGTGTGTTTTGAATCAACTAAACTTTACAGCACTTAGAGTCCTCCACTGCAGACTAGTGTTTTGGAGGTGTAACTGCAGAGTGACAGACACGCCACCGCAGAAGTAAAAATAACGTGCAGATTTTTTTTTTTTTTTTTCCCACGACTAATCGATTAGTTGAAGATTATGTACGACTTCAGTCGACCAACATTTTCTTTGGTTGACTACAGCCCTAATGATATTCATAACCATGTTTCATTGCTTTAGAATGAGACGTTTACATCTACATATGGAGCAGGTCCTCTTTCGCAGAATCCACCATGTTGTTTCTACAGTAGCCCAGAATGGACAGATAAAACACTGCCTCTAGATAGGGCCATTCACATTTTGTGTTTTTGCATCAGCATCCATAGTTCTGCTACACACTTGGCACATGGGAGAAGTTTCAGTTAAAACTACATACGTTGCAAAGTAACAACAGCAGAGCACCCCAGGTTGACCTGTGTTTTGACTGGGTGAATAATGTTTTGTTGTGTCTCCAAGGTAATGGATATATGAGCAAGAGGGTCAGAATTTTCAAGGCATAATTTTATGAGAAGTAGTAAGGGCAGCTGAAGTACCTGTTATTCCATATAAGCTACAGCTTCAGCTACAGACTTCATTCACAATCTCAACTAGATGCAGAAGACTTGCTTCATAACATCATGTGTGCTGATCAATTCATAGCCTGTATTACTAAGCTGCCTGGCAGGTTTAAAGGATAGGGCTTCTGATATTCCATATGTTCCTTATTGACCAAAAATCCCATTAAAAGACCAACAATGATGTAGCCTACAAACAAGTACTGTGTGTGTATGTGTGTATCAAAGCTTGATACAGCCTCTTCCTCTGTGTTATAGAGCTCCATTGTTGCCCAGAAGCTAATTAAAAATGCATCAGTGAGCCACACTGTTGCACTGGGTGACATGTTCCTTCACTGCAGTGAACACAGCCTCTGTAGTTTACTTTGATTCAAGTCCAACATACATTGTTCTGCTGGACATGCTCTTGTATTGAATCAAATCTGAGCAATGTTTGCAGCTGTTTTCAGAAATTATTTAGCATTCTTTAAAAAATGAAAGATTTATGACCATTTTTTACAATGTATGTCTTTATAAGAATGAATGGGTTTGGGGCTGAGTGCCACAGACAGGTTCAGGAAGTAAGAAGCTATTGAGAGACAGATTGAGGGCCAGAGTATACTCTATCAGAACTCAAGTTCTTGGTGTGTGCTCTCCAACCACATTGCAATCAAAAGTGTTACTAGCTGTTCCAAACAGCTACACTTGAAAGTCGAGTGAAAAACTGGATGTCATGGGGCTACTTTTTTGGATGGAAGACATTTATAGTGGTGCACTTGGTTGTTCCCATGAAAAGTGATAGAAGCTGTTGTGTTAAGAATTCAAACGCTGGATCCTATCTGAACCTCCACATAGATGGCCAGTCACAGAAACTTGGAAAGTTACAGAAATTGTCAGAAAGGTTCGATTTGACCATCTGACAAAACACTCTTACTGAGTATACTTGCTTTTTTTTGACCCTGGGCAAATCACACACACCCGCACATGATGCACTACAAGGCTTGATCACATATTTGTAACATGACTGTTCAACTGAGCTTCAGGAACTTTACCTGAATGGGCCAACTTTAGTTAAGTTTGACCTAGTCACAGAGGCGACCCAATGAAAGTGGTGCATTGCAAAGTAAAATTTAGCCCAAAGTTCATTTTAGAACATGAGCAATATGCTTGCTCATGCGTGTCATGCATGACAAACACCCGTACCTAATATTTTCTAAAGCACTTTTCATACTTGGTGGTCTATCCCTAAAATGTTAAGGAACATTTGCCGCATTGGGTTATGTGTGAATGGGAGAAGGGATCAATATTCAGGGAAACTTGTAGCACTAATTTCCCACCTCAAGACCAAGTAACATTGCAGGAACAATGGTGGTACAGCAGTGTTGTGAATGAAAGCAGTAGCATTGCAGGGACAAGCTCATAAAGGATTATGTCCATCTCACAAAAGACGCTTCCAGATGGGGTGAGCAAACCAATCACGACTCCACTGATGATATTTGAATCTGTGAGCTATTTCTCATCCAGATAGGTCATAAAAAGCATTACTGGACTCACAAATATATTGAATATTACATTCATTATATTGCCACTGGACAAAAACAGCTCCTGTTCCTGAAAATAAGAGACATCTTCCGTCACATACATGCATATCAGACCTTGCCCCATTTTCTTCTTCTTCTGCCATCATCATCTGCTGGACTGTCCCTTTCCCAATCTACTCTGGTATTGCTATGGCATGTCTGAAAAGGTGTAGGAGTGAAATGTTCCTCAACGTAGTGCTTGTGTGTAAATAGCTAAACTCACTAGCAATGCCTGAAAGGTTATCACAGTAATTTACTGTGAACTGTGTGTGAAAGAGGCTTATGTAAAGTCCCACACACCTTCTTGACTCTCTAGAAATGCAGCGATTTTATAACTTTCACTCCCAGATCGACACACCTCTGCTACTGTACCCTGACTGTGCCTTGCGTCTGATGTGTGCTACAAATGGTGTTAATATGACACCACACAATTGAGTCAGTACTGCTGTGATTTGTTCCAAAACGACTTCTTTCCCAGCACAATTACAAACACTTTGTACAGTGGCTCACGTAGCCAAGTCTCCACGGGATCAGCCCATCCAAAGCTCGGCGGTGTCCTACTCTCATTTTGTTTCTCAAAGGTGGGCAGATGTTTGACTCCCAGCTTCCAAAGTGCTGTCTTTGATTGTAGGAGGTTGTTTGTGTGAATTAGAGTTATGGGGGAAATTCATCCAAACTGACTGTAAGCTGAGTGAGCTTAACCTCTGTGACATCACCGGGTCCATTTAGTAATGCACAACCAGGGAGGGCCCCAAATTT